GAAAGAGGTTAAGAAGCAGTTGAATAATCTAAGCAAGGGACACCCAGGACCTGAACTAAGGCAGTGGCAATGGGGATGGGCAGGGGCCAGATAGGAGAGCGTAATCAAATAGAATTAGCTCTAGTGAATGACCTGAGGTACCTAGGGGACTCCTAGATTTCTTTTGTGAATAACTGAGTAGGTAATATCAGACCCTGAGAGGTCCAAATTGAAATGGAGACAAACTTGGGGGGGGAAATGTTCAGTTTTAGACATATCGTGTGAGAGATATCTGTGAGACATAAAGATAGACAATGTTGTTTTATTAGTGTAACGTCAGATAGGCATCACAAGAGGTTAGAGGGGCAAGAGATACAGATTTGCTGGCCAACGGTTCAGAGATGGTAGTTGAAGACGTGGGAGTGGATGAGTTTTCCCAAAGAAGCTGTGTAGAGTGTTTAAGAGAACTAAGAGACATCAGCACTTAGGAGAAGAGGAACAGCAAACGTGGGATCAAGGAAGGGTTTTGTTTTGTTAGGTTTTTCCTCCCTAACATGGAAGAACTTTGAGCAACTCATGGGTGTAGGGCCGGCATAAAGAGAAGACTGGAAACAAATGAGAAATGGGGAATACCCAACTAAGGGACAGAAAGTGATTGATCAGTTACAAATGGAGGGCTTAGATTAGAAGCAAAGAAGTCAGGGCTGGCATTTGAAATATGTATATTTTTAGGCTTGGGTGGAAAGAGTCAAGGTCATGTTTAATGACCTCAGTTGTTTCTAAGAGGAAGGGGGCAGAGACACTAGGTGAGGTGTGGGAAGCAGTAAAGAGGCGTGAGGATAACAGCAAAAAGTTAGAAACAGCTGTTCTTTGGGAAAGGGAAGAGGGAGGGGACCAGGGACACTAAAAAGATTTGAGGACCCTGCTCTGGTTGGAAACTAAATATTAGTTGTATATCACTATTCAGGATTGTTTGGTTTGCTCCAGCATAACTGAGTCAGGATTTAAGTCCAAGAGTCTAGAAAGCAGATGGTTGCATTGGTCTGAGGCTGGGATCTTTTGCAGGGTGAGTACAGTGAAAGGAAAAAGGTCGAGACCACAAAGAGAGTGATGTGTAGTGAGTGATACAACAGTAGGCTATGTGATCCTGCTTTGTGGGACTCCAGTTTGATCATTTTGTTTTTCAGCTCAGAAATCTGCAGTGAATAGCTCCTTGGCTTATGTTCTAAATCCTTGAATTGATAGATAAGACAAGATTTTCCCATAAAGCTGATTCAAGCTCCACTTCCTATTACTTTCCTTTTAGACTCATCCCTTCATAGTGACTCCCTCTGCTTTTGCTCTGGCAGCTCTCTGCCTAAATACCACACCTCTCAGCTGCCTGAATCCTATGTAGCCTTCGCAAGATCCAGTTCTAATCACACTTCCTCTGACAAAACCTCCTTGGCCACCATATTCTGAATAGAACCCTAGTTTTTCAGAATTTTTTTCCCCCAATATCACTTAGAGCATGTATTGTCTTTTACATTGTTTCTTCTATATTATGTGGGTTTTATTTCTGCAACTAATTTTTTTATACCACCACTGCACCTGCACAACATTACTAGAAAAATAACTTTTCTAATTTTCTGTATGAAAAAACCATATAGAATATAGGTTTTATTATCAGATTCAACAAACACTGTTAAATTGCTATGAGATATTCTAAAAGCTTATGCTTTGTTTCTGTACTTATCTTGATACAGACTGCTAACTATGTGGACTAGCAATGGTTCGCAGACCATACTTTGAGCAGCACTGCTTGCCATAATGTCATTTAAACTTCCCCATTTACTTTCTCAGGTAAGGGAACAGGTTTAGGTTAAGCCACATGATCAAGATCACCAGCTTAGCACTGGACAGAACTAATTCAAATGCCAAATGTCATTTTGTTCATACTAGTGATTCTCAAAGCTGGTTCTTCAAACAGGGTTTGTTTGGGGCAGTTTTTTGTTTGGTTTTATTTTGTTTTCAAGAAGTGAATTTCCTCTTTTGAATTGCAAATATATTTGATATTTTATCCTTTGTTTCCTTTGGTTCTTGAATTTTGAGGCCTGTGAGTGTTAATTTCAGATGAATATTGCTTCATCTGAACTACTTAGTTGAGTGGAAAAAGTAACTAACATCCCTTTTAAATGTCCGTATCTGCTGGGTCTAAGATGTTTGACAAAGTTCTCATCTCTTTGATGAAATGTGAAAATACAGTGTAATTAGTTTCTTCTTAAAATCAAATTAATCAAATTTAAAAGACTATACTTTATCCTGAGATTTTGTCCTAAGTTTTTTGAGTGTTTAAATAGTGAAAATAGAACATATAACAATTGTGTGGGGTGGTTTTTATAACAGCTAGATTGAAATAATTTACATACCATGAAATTCACCCTTTTAAAGTATGCAATTCATAGTTTTACAACCATTACCCACTATCTAATATTAGAATATTTTCATCATCCCAAAAAGAAACCCCGTACATACCTACTAGCAGTGATTCCCATCTCCTCTTTCCTCTAGTCTCTGACAACCACTAATCTACTTTCTATATCTATGGATTTGCTTATTTTGTACACGTCATATAAATGGAGTCATACAATATGTGACCTTTTGTATCTGGCTTCTTTTACCGAACATAATCTTCAAGTTTTATCCATGTCGTAGCATATATCAGTACTCCATTTCTTTTTATTGTCA